GAGAGGGATAGAGAACTAGAAACATTGATGAGAGAGAACCATTGATCAGCTGCCTCTTGCACACCCCCCACTGGAGATGTGCCCGCAACCAATGTACATGCCCTTGACCAGAATCGAACCCGGGACCTTTCAGTCCGCAGGCCGACGCTCTATCCACTGAGCCAAACCGGTTTCGGCTATTATCCCATTTTATAGATGAAGTAACAGAGGTACAAAAATCACCTAGTAGAGAAGTAGCAGAGCCACGCTTCAAACCCAGGAGTCTGCTTAGAGTTGGTGTTAGTTGGGATTCTCCAGAGAATCCCATCAGGATTGGCTTCAGTGATTATGGGGGCTGGCAAATCTGATATGTACAGAGCAGGCAGGCAGGAAGTGGAGTTGAGGTCTTAAAACAGAATTTCTTCTTCCCCATAGAAACCTCAGTTTTTCTCTTAACGCCTTTCAACTAGTTGGATGAGGCCCAACCACATTATCAAGGAAGTCAACTGATTGTAGATGTTAACCACATGTACAAAGTACATTCACAACTCTTATAGATGAGGGTAATATAGCTTAGCCAAGTTGATGCACAAACACTAAACATCATTGGGTCCATACTTTTAAACACTATTCCAAGTTAAGAACCTTACATGTTGGATCTAAATTTTATAATAAACTGAAGATTATTTAGTAATGGGTTACCCCATTACAAAATGGTGCTCCTCACCTAATTGAAAATAGAATCTGAATTTCTTTTCAATCCACATAGCTTCTAGCACAAAATATTGCTCCAAGTAAGTATGCAATAGATAATATTGAAAGAACGAGCAACTGAATTATTTAGATGATATTCTATAAGACTTTCCAGGCATCGAGAACTCTGGCTCCATTTTTAAATTTAAAATCATTTTGCCCAAGTGATATACAGGTTTTATGAATTTCTAGATTTTCTTGAAAAAATGGAGAATATCTGCATAAACATTCTCTTTTCATACTATTCCTCAGTGATCCTATTTAATAGGAAATAATGCAGATATATGTTTTTGAATTTGTTTAAATTAGACAGACTTAATTCATAATAATTAGCTCTATTTGTAACCTTGAAAAATATAACTCCCTTTTCAAAGGAAAAAGAAGATTCAGAAGCTAATCATATTCTCAGAATTCTGTGATCCGGAAAGGGTTAAGAACTGCAGTGCCACAATTCTGTCCATCACAGACTATCTGCTCTGGCTTCTCCAGAAAAAACATACAAAACATCTCCAAAAGAATCTTCCACCTAAATCTTAGGAAGGTCAATGGCATTTTCCTCTACTTTTATTTGCAGTGTTTATTCTGCCCTCCTTCTAGCCACTCACACACATAACCAATTATTCTCCACCTGCTGCCAAACTAGCAAGCGCCTTTACACCTGTATCCTCACGCTTTTCATTATCGGGTTGAGAAAAACATTAATGATAATGTAGTTTTCTGCCCATTACCTGTCTCTAATAACATGCTTGTCATCATAATTAGTTTCACCATACTTGGCTTGCTTTTCAGCCATTTCTTTCCCTTGAGTTCTATTTATACCAGAAATTGGCTGCTACACTATTATTCTGGCCTGTGTAATGGGGCTGACAGCAGAAGTATTATGCCTTTTTTGACAACTGCATATGACTGGTAAAGGTGTGAAGAGGAACTGCTAATACTTCTCAGCTCTATTATATTAACCTGGAAGGCATTCTATCCATAAAATGAATCCAATATTAAACTGCCTGTTTTATGAAATTTTCTTTAATAAATTTTCTAATCTTTACAATGTTTTCATAGCTTCAGTATTTTCTGATCTCTTTCCTGAGATTAATATGGCAACTTCATTATATGAAAACTGTTTCATCAGATTTTCTTTATTTTTCAGAAAAGAGAAAGAGAAGGAAAGACATATTTGTGAGTTTCTCACCTTTATCCTGTGTTCCTCTCCCGGTTTCTGGCTGATGCTAGGATGATTAAGCAAGGTTTTGCAAAGAGACCTAATCAAAGACAGTGCTATTGATATGCCATCAAAAAGTCACAAAGTCCAAATAATAAATAAATAAAACCTCTACATGTTGAGGAATTCAGAGATGATCTTGGAGGGCAATAAGCAAGAAAGCCATAAGGTCCAATGTACACTCTAGAAATACTGCTTGGAGCCCTAACTGGTTGGCTCAGTGGATAAGTGTTGGCATGCGAACTGAAAGGTCCCAGGTTTGATTCCGGTCAAGGACATGTACCTTGGTTGCGGGTACATCCCCGTAGGAGGTGTGCAGGAGGCAGCTGATTGATGTTTCTCTCTTATTGATGTTTCTAACTCTCTATCATTCTCCCCTCCTCTCTATAAAAAAGTCAATAAAATATATATTTTAAAAAAGAAAGAAATATTGCTTAGGTAGCCATAACTTGGATAATGCTGCATTTGCAGAAGGAGAGACTCAATTCAGGAGGCCACTCCATAAAGGCCTCGGGCAGGGCAGTAGCAGGAGGGATGGGAATGAGAGGAGATTCAGCCACTATTCAGAATGTAAAGTAGCAGAAGTTAGTAACTAATTGGATGTGAAGGGCAAGAAATAACAACAACTACTACTTAATGAGCACTTCACATGTTTCAGATGATAAGGTAGGGCTTTCCTTCATAATCACATGTATCCTTAAAATACCCTGAGGAGTATTATTATCGTGTTTTATAGATGAGGAAACCAAGACCTTGTGGGATTAAGTAAATTGCCCAAGATCATATGACAATTAAGTGGTAAACTCAGACCAGTCTGACTCCAAATCCAAACAACTAGCCACTGTGTGACAGGAAGACTCAAGGATATCTCTAGGATTCTCTAGGGAAGGCTGCGAGTCTGACAGTATCACTAAGTGAGGAGAATATAGGAAGAGGTGTTCAGTTCAGTAAAACTCCACAGTCAGAGAGCAATGGTTAAAGTTAGGGAGGGCAAGCAAGTTACACATTTTGCTAAAGACTGCCTCAAAATTAAAAGTTGTTCAATGAAGAGGTAGAAATCAAGAAACAGAAAAGGCTCGGGATGAAGTGTGAGACTGCATTCATGTTGAATGAATGTTTTTTACCTTTGTTTTTTGAATATGACTATAATTATTTGCTAATGACACAGAAATAGTCTCAGCAATTATTAACTAAGTGCCATCCTCACAGAACCTAGGAAGTTCGATAAAAGGAGGCATTTCTTGGGCCTACACAGTTTCCACCCCTTAAACAGCTTGCTGCTGTTGGATTTACCCACCCCTGTCCTACCTTGAACCTTGTAACACCAAAAAGGTTTAAATAACAAAATGGTACACCAAGACTTAAAAAGTTTTTAGTATATTGTCTAGTTTAAGGCTTCATAAAAATATTGGGTAGTGCCGGGACCGGTTTGGCTGAATGGATAGAGTGTCAGCTTGGGGACTGAAGGGTCCCGGGTTTGATTCCGGTCAAGGGCATGTACCTTGGTTGTGGGCATATCCCCAGTGGGGGGTGTGCAAGAGGCAGCTGATCGATCACTCTCTCTCATCGATTATTCTGGCTCTCTATCTCTCTCCCTTCCTCTCTATACAAAAATCAATAAAATGTATTAAAAAAAAGAAAAAGAAAATATTGGGTAGCAACATAATATAGTGAAAAATAAACTAGATTTAGAATAAAAAGATTGAATGCACTGGCTGGGTAGCTCAGTTGGTTAGAACATCAGCCTATTGCACCAAGGTTGCAGGTTCAATCCCCAGTAAGGACACATACAAGAATCAACTAATAAATGCATAAATAAATGGAACAACAAATCGATGTTTCTTTCTCTCTCTCAATAAACTAAAAAAAATTTTTTTTCTACAATAAATAGATTGAGTATGAATTCTACCTTGGAAAATGTAATTTTGTGACACTGGGCAAATCACCCATGGTTCTCTCTCAGCCTCATTTTCTTCATTTGAAAATTGAGGCTAATGATAGCTTACAAAGGGTTTCTATAAGTACTCAATTAAATAATAGATGTCAGGTTATCTAGTTCAGAATTTGGAACACTGCAAAAACTCAATATATTCCAACAGCTTCCCTTCTACTCCTTATGGAAAAGAGACAGGGTACATGCTGTGTGTATGATAAATATTTAATAAATATGTATTTGTTATCATTTAAAATACACCTATTCTGTGCAGAAGCTGGTTTTAAATCAGAATTTATACCATTGATGCATGTTAAACATCTTTTAAGATGACAACTAACCTTTTGAAAATACTATTAAGCTTATATGATCAAAAATTCTACCCAAATAAGTAAACAGCAGGGGGAAAAATCTTATTAATGACAGGTAAAGAAGCTTAGTTTGACAAATCAAAGATAAGCTTCACCATCACACCCTCTTGCTGAACAGTGTGAGAAAAAAACACACACACATTCTCTGCCTCTTGGGAAATTTAATTGTCCTGATCTTGGCAGGAAACTTATAACTATTGTGTTTATTTACAAAACTTAGCATTCTCAAGGGAAGAGGTTATATAGATTATGGGGGGGAAATGCAACATATGGCTGGGTTCTCACTCCCTGCATTGCTCTTGCCAGAGTCCTCCCCAGGGCTGGCCCCACTCCAGGCAATCCCAGCAGGGCTGGTTTAACCTCAGGAGCCCTTCCAGGCCCACTGCATGGCTTCCCATGGATGGAAAGTTTCCCCTGCTTCCTGCTTATGTTTGAATCTCCACCTGCCGGAGTAAGGAGCCGGCCTCACATCTGGTTTGATCTCTAGTCCCAGGCTTGGATAATAGTAATTAACATGTGTGTCTCCCTCTTTCTCTGTTTCTATCTTCCCATTCCGTATTTTCCCTTTCCTCCCTCTTAATTTCCAGTTCCCACCCAGCTCCATGTTTTTTTAATTTCTCTGTTTCTCCCTCTCTCTACACATACACATCTCAATAACCTATGCACTAGAAACTAAAACAGTAAGTGCCATTCAAGAGACCCAATGATGAGTATAGATTCCCCTCCACTTCTGACTTTTACTCACCCAGAGCCATCTCTGAACCAAGAGAGTCTTCAACCACGTTCCCAGGTGGGGTGGGTAAAACATCGTCATCAAAGCTGATGAGGTCGATGTCCCCCAGAGGCTTGCTTTGCGGACCTGGGGCAGGGGGGTTGGCTGAGGCTCCTTCGCCCGGTGGCCTGGATGCTTTGGCTTGTGATGCCACTGAGGGTCGGGGAGGAACAGTGACCGGTTTCAGCAAAGCTGCAGGGCAGGTGGGGTTTTCTGAGGAAACGGGTTTCTTCGGCAGCAAAGGCCGAGGAGCAGGAGTTGGGACTCTCTTCCTGCCATCAGGGCTCTCAGCCACAGGCCCTCCTCCCAGAGTGTCCGGATTAACACTTCGTGTAAGGCCAGGGTTTGGTTTCTTTGGCAATTCAGGTTTGGTTACTGGGATGCTCCCCACTTCTTGCGATGGAGAGTGTGGGGTGGGCCCTTCCCCTGAGGCCACCTTGCATCTGTTTTCATTCCAGGAGTCCAATTCTCCAGAAGCTCTGTTAGCAGCTGGTTTGGGAGCCACAGAGGGTTTCCCTGAGGGAACAGCAGGCCTTGGGGGGAGGGCGCGGGGAGCAATCTCTGGTTTCTTGGGCAGTCCAGAAGTTTCTGTATTTGTCTGACTATCCAATGCTTTGATCCTTGAAACAATACTATTTTGGCTTCGTTCTGTGTTCATAATGTTTATCCCTGCCTGACGATCCGAGTCGTTGGTATTGTCCAACAAAGACTGGGGTTGGCTTGGGGCCGACTCCTCTTCGGTGGCCGCTGAGCTGGTTTTCTGGAGATTCTGCCCTTTAATGTGGGAATCTCTGGCTACTGGTCTGAGGTTGCTTTTTGATCTTGGTTTTGGCACTGGACATCTTGTAGCATTGGAATTTTCTGGACAACTGTGTTCCTCAGAAATGTCAAAGACTATTAAAGGTGCCACATTTGTGGGAAGATCACTGGCTGAGACCCCTATGGAAGGCTGAAGAGGTTTGAGAGGTGCCTGTAGCGCTGATAAAATAAAAATGAACAAGAATAAGTTGCAACATTATAATTTAAAAGAAAAACATAATAGAAGATAAACAAATTTTTAAAGATATACATGTAGAATAGCAAGAGAACTTGGTTCTCAATTAGTAAAAAGTAATTCCAAAATCAAGGTGGAAATGTTTATACTCAGCTTTTTGCACAGTGTTCAAGTTATATTTACTCATATAAGAAACACTCATTTTGTAATAGTTTAAAACACGGTTAAATTTCTGATTCTCAGTAGACTTATTCCACAAATAATTTCTCTCTCACTGTCAAAATTCTAACAATTCTTGCTTTACTTTTCCAAAGTAACTTACATCCATCTGTTATCCTAATACAATGCATTTAAAAAGGCGAACAGGGTAAACACCTTTAGCATTCTATCAAGTTTACATTGCTAAATATAACATCCTTCTCCATGGGAATAAAGGGCATCAGCAGTAATACCAACCATGAGTTAAAGGATGTTTTGTGATATGAATTAGGGTGAGCGAGCCCAAGGAAATGGTGCTTTGGGTCCTGAGAATGAACTATTATAATCAGAGCAAATCCAAATAAAGCAAGCACACATGATTCACACTGACTTGGAAGCAGAGCTCAATAAATTATGTATGGATTAAAAATTATTTTTAAGACTAGAGTCTACTGATTGCTTTCCTAGAACCAGGTCAGAATTAGGGAAGACAAATTATTTGCATTACTTTGAGGCAGGTGGTTGTCTATTTCTTCTGAAAAGTCAGTCTGAGTTGCAGAAGTAATAGTGTGCCTTGGAGAGGCAGCAGCATTATTATTATTTGTAGTATTAACTTGAACTTGGTTGATTTCTTTTATCACTTGCTCATAAGATGGTGGGAGCTGCAATAGAAAGAATGAAATTTTAGACACCTATGGTTGACAGCCAACAGGTTAACAGTCTCACTGTTCTAATATTTGAATTTCATTTTAAAAATCAAATGCAAAGAGATAACAGATACTTATTCACCTCAGCAGGAACCAGCTCACTGGGCCTCCACGGGCCTGCGGCAGAGGGCGGGGAAAACCCCAATCCTGGGGCTGGGGCTCCTGGAAACCATGAGGCTGGCCTCAGTGGCTCAGCTGCCACAATGGTGATCTCCGGGCGCCTAGGAGACAGAAGCCTCAGGGAGATTTTGCAGGTTGGTAACAGGCTATTATCAATTTGCAAATGGTCAAAGCTTCATGAAAACAACTACCACACAAGCAAATTACTTAAGAACTACTGCAGTCACAGAAATGACCTGTACGGCCTGGGCTGTCTCTAATAGTACACCCAGGCAGGCTTCAAGGGATCAAATGGCAGCATCCTCTCTGAGTTTGGCTACAAAAAGTTAGAGGTGTACCTTAAGCACACTTAGCTCCGCCTTGGTTGATAAGGATATGGACTTGGTAAGGTCCATACAGGCTTTTCATTCCAGGGCTCTGTTATCTTAGCCTATAGCCAAACATAAATATACCGTAAGTAGAAAAGTGGATGTGTCAGATAGAATTGTTTATTTTTCTGTTATTATAAAGTATAAACTAAAAAGTGATACCATACAAACAGAATACATAGAATACCTTCTTCGTCCTCACTCCACCTGTGTCCCAATTCTAAGTTATCTTTTACTGTTTAGAGTTCACATGTTCATTTCTAGACCCTGATGTGTGTGACTGTGTTTCTTGTCAGTTTTGTACACGAATTTGATGATGATTGTTTAACACTGAGGAGCCATAGTGATTTAGGCATGGCTTCTTTCATAATTTTTTCTTTTTTCTTTTTCTTTTTTTAATATATTTTATTGATTTTGTACAGAGAGGAAGGGAGAGAGAGAGAGAGTTAGAAACATTGATGAGAGAGAGTCATTGATCAGCTGCCTCTTGCACACCCACTACTGGGGATATGCCCGCAACCAAGGTACATGCCTTTGACTGGAATCGAACCCGGGACCTTTCAGTCCCCAAGCCGACGCTCTATCCATTGAGCCAAACCAGTCCCGGCTTTCATAATTTTCTTAACCTGATTCTACAGTTTCTCACTCTTGTTTAAATCTTACCTTCAACCTGACTTCCTAACAAATACCAACTCTGAGTTGATCAATCATCTTTCTGAGCCTCAAGTTTCGGTTCTAACAAATAATGACAATACCTGCTCTTCCTTTCTGTAGCACTCTATGCCAAATAAAAACAAAACCAAAAAGCATTATCATTATTAAAACTGTGTATAGCCCGGCCAGTGGTTGAGCATTGACCTATAAACTGGGAGGTTATATAGTTCCATTCCCGGTCAGGGCACATGCCCAGGTTGTGGGTTCAATTTCTAGTGTGGGATGTGCAGGAGGTAGCCGATCAATGACTCTCTCTCATCACTGGTGTTTCTATCTCTCTCTTCCTCTCTGAAATTAATAACAATATTAATAAAACTAGAGGCCGGTTGCAGGAAGATTCCTGCAAGAATAAGGCTTCCTTGGGCCTATTCCTGCAAGAATAGGGCTTCCTGCGGTCTGAGCAAAGCAGAGAAGGGAGCGAAGCCTGACTGCCGCCCAGCGCTTTCCCTCCCGTGACCGCTGCCACCCCGCTTTCTGCTTTCCCTCCCTCTTCCGTCTATGCTTTCTTCAGTCTTTGCTCCAAATTAACTGCTTTCTTTGTTGGGTTAATTTGCATACGCGCTGATAGCGGAGTGATGGTCAATTTGCACGTTTCTCTTTTATTAGTATAGATCAACCTTCCCTCCCCCATGTATTAATAGATACATTCTCATGCTAACTTGTGAAATGGTGGAACCTGCTTAATTATATTTGAATGGGATTACCTAAGAACCTCTGCTTATAGCTTTTGTGTAACTAAATCATGAGTTACTAATTAATAAATTTTGGCCACACTACATGCATTAATCTGTATAACAACCTTTTGAGGGAGGTCTGGTTTGTACTGCTTTAATGATTGGGATATTGAAGCGAAGAAGAGTGACATAGCTAGCCAAGGTCACGTGGTGAGAAAGTAAAGTCATGATTTGAACTTGCATAATGTCTCACTCTAAAGTCCTTGTTCTTCATTCCTAGATATCACACCATAAGAAATTTGAAAGCGTGGAAGATGTTTTATAAAAATCTATCCATTTATTCACCTGCTAATCTTCCCATCCATTCAGCCCTCTGTCTGTCTATTTGGCCTTCTTTCTGTGTTTTCAGTGACTCAGTCTTCTCTCCTCCCCTTTTTCCCTTTCTCGAGCCAACCATCTAGCTACTTATGCATTCAGCTATCTATCCAGCCTGCCTGCCTGCCTGCCTCTTTTTCTTTCTTTACCCTTCCACTCAATCTCCTATCCTGTCATTCATCCATTTATCTATGCAACATGTACTAAGCAGCTATGAGGTACAAAGCACTTCTTTGAAGCAGTTCCGATAATGCTTTACATGTAGCAGTTGCTTAATAAACATTTTCAAATTGATTTCAGTAAATAATTAGTCTCAAAAGAACACTTTTAGGCTTGTATTGCTTCTCCTCTCAAGCAAAGTCTCTATTGTTCAAGCTTATAGATTAATTCAGGAAATGTATTGATGAGGCATAATGCTGTAATACACTGCTTATGAAAGAGAAACTTATCAGTTAACTTGCTAACTGATAACAATTTTATTTCATTATTAGCAGAATATATGCCCTCTATTATAAATATAACCATACCTCCTATCTCGATGAAGCTCACTCTGTATAGAAGTCCGAGAAGCTACAAAAGAAAGAATACATTGATGACATACAAAATTAGTATATTCAATAAAGGTTTAAATTTCACAGGGTATATTATTAAAAAATAGCTTATACTTGATATCATATAGAATATATGGATTTTTTGAAGGATTAAAAATAACTTATTTATTTTTTGCAAATCTTTTAATCACATCTTATATTTATTTTATAATTAGAAATAAATTTTATAATTAGAAATAAGTAGCTAATAAATGATGTATTTCTACAAACTGGATTATAGACACATAGGATAGTGTCTTAAAGAAAATGTTTTGATAAGGATAGAAGAAAGAAAGAAAGAATATAAAGGCATTTATACCTGAATTAGGTTTAGAGGGAATAATATCTAAGAGGAACATAGAGACAAAGCAGAATGTATGTATTTTAACATCCATAGTAGAAAAGCAAATCAAAATGACCTTTTCATATGGTATCAAGTTAATTATAGCATATATTTGAATTCATAAGATAGCAGATTTCAAAAGCTCTCCAAAGCACATTCCGGGGTTCCGAAAGTGAGTTAATGAATGAACAGAGGGGAAAAAAAGATAGCTATAAATAGAAGTTGCATGATAAGAGCATTATAATCACATGAAATAACAATGGGCATAAAACTTCATTATATATCTATTCTGATCTATGATAGTACTTTTATATTTGTTTATGACTATTGTAAAGAGAATGAAGGTGGTTAAATTTTCATCGATTTTCTAACTTTTCTGGAGTTTTATAGTCTCTGTTTTAGTACTTAAATTAAAAAATAATGAATACAAGAACTGTCCATATCACTTTTATAAACACATTTATAGAATACATTATTATATATGCAGCACTGACTTTTCCCTCCACCTCAAAAAGCTATGTTATTTAAAATTTTTCCAAATTTTACTTAAAAATTAAATCATGTCTTAATCAGATGATCTGGACAATATGTCACATATAGGGTCACATAGTATACATATGTACAATACAGAATTATATCCCTATTTTCAAGGAGCACATTCTAAAGACATCTTTTTTATAAATCTTCCTACACATACTGAAATGATTGTGCACAAACAGGAATTTGTTTCAGATATTAACTATTTCTGCCAGTTGCCCTCCTATTTCCAATACTCTAATTTTTTCAATTCTTCTGATTTGTAAAGTTTGAAGTATGAATCTTTGCCTTTTCCCCTCCTATTAACCTTCTAGTTCTCTCTGAACAACGAGGCTGACAAAGCTGGGGAGGCAGGGGTAGAGGTGGCTGTGACAGCTGAATCTATTCTGGGTTGGCAAAGCAAACCCAACATTTGAAACCAAAACTCTTGGATATCAAGTTGGAGGATGTCTTGTATTCATATCATTAACTGATTTGATTTCAATTTTTATCAAAAGTTAATCCAAGCTGAGGTGCATTTTGTCTATTGGAGTGGAAAGCTCTGAGTGGCTGGTCTGATTGGTAAGGCTGGTTTCATTAAGTAAGTGGTTCATTAAGTGCGCTACAATCACATCACCATCACCACTAAAGCCAGAATCAGCAGGCACAGCACTTGTACATGACATCACATCATTGGTCACAAACATACCTCTTCCACGGGGCATTTTTGCTGTGCACTATTCATGAGTGCTAAGAGAAAAAAAGAAGGGGTTATAGAAGAAGAAAGGGGGGGAAAAAAAAGTGAACCCAGTTGCTTATGCTCTAAAAGGAATTTGAGAGCAAGACTGTCTCACCATGGCACTCTGCATACTTCAACAGAAAGGAAAAGTTGATGAACCATAGTTTTAGGGAGTAAAGAAGTACGCTGTGGCAAAGACATGTCTGTACAGACCAGACATTCACACTCATAACTACAGAAAAAACAAAAACAAAAAAAAAAACAAAGACACACACACAAAAAAAAAACTACCTATGGTGCAAAAAAAATCCCTAAAAAATTTTTGCAAAATCAATTTGCTACTTCAATAGGAATCAATATTAAAGTATACATATACTTAAAAGGAAATTCAGTATTCACTTTACATCCTTTTAAATCAGTTGCTCGTTACTTGATTCGGCCCTTGCATATCACAGGTCATTAGAAACAGGCCCCCCTGGGTAGCAGGGTGGCATTCCCACTCTGGAAGTAGCCAAATGATGGCAAGAAGGTCTCTCAAGGATCTCTGCATCCTTTCAGAAGCAGTACCTCCTCCTTTCCTACTCCAATTTTTTTTTTTTTTTTCACACTCACTTGTCTGTGAAATCTCTTTTCTCTCTTGATCCCCATAGAATGCCTGGCACTTTTTATCAGTGTTGAACAAGTTTAGCAGCTAGACACTTTAAATGTTCATGGCAGATTTTCATGTAGTATTTCACACTCTTCCTGCTAATTTCTTAACCACCCATTTAATCTAGTCTCACTTTCCCAGATTATACAGATTTGATGTAGTTGTTGCCAGGAAAACTGAATTTGCCACCAAAGCCCATATTGACAGGGATCTTAACCTCTGCCACAAACTGCTGCTAGTCTCCTGTACATTTTGGATTAAACCACAGTATAAAGGCAATATGCTCCATTAAAGCTGACGTATCATTTTACAGAATTATTTTGAAACTTTTCTAACTCATATAGTTAAATCCTAAGCACAAAACAAGTTAATATTTAGTTGTTCATAAAATACTGAGACCTGGATTTCCGATATTAGTTCTAATAAAGACTCTGCCTACACTCCGTCAGGATCGTAAGCATGAAAGGACTCTCAGTGATCATCCTACTCCAACCTTACAGATGAGGAGACTGAGACACAGAGAGGTTAAATGTGTTATCCCAGGGCCTACAGCCCATTATAGGAAGGGCTGGGGGCAGTTTGTCCCTGAAGCAGTTTAATTCCTTGTGGAGCCAGAGGAGCTGGCTGTGTCTTGATTCTCAATAATTAATAAATATTGGTAAAATAATGGTCAGAAGAAATAAACACACAGAAGGATCATCTATACATATAAAAGCCTTAGTGACCATCTGACCAGTAGCTATGACGTGCACTGACCACCAGGGGTCAGGCACTCAACGCAGGAGCTGCTGAGAGATAGCAACTTTGCAGAGCGCCCTCTGACACTCTGGGTCCTCTCAGGAAATGTCCGGTGGCTGTTTCAGCCCAATCCCCACAGGACAGGCCAAGTGACGCCATCTGCCGGAGGGACCCCACTCACTCCCCAGACATCCTTCGAGCCCCAGTGCTGCCCCAGGTGCAGACAGCCAGGGAGGGACCACAGGAGGTTGGCTCCAGGGCATGTCTGGCCCATCTTGCCCAGTCCCACCCCATGGGCCACGTTTTAATTAATTTCCTTTCAAATAGCATGAATCCATGCACCAGGCCTCAAGTTATATTATAAGCATCCTTGCTATAATCTTTATCAATGAAAATCACAATAATAAAAAATCACTAACTACATTTGTTTGTGACAGGGTATGAACTAGATGCCAATGATATGGTAATAAGAAGATCCGTACAATGGAAAAGCTCATGGCCTCAGAGTCTCAGGAAATCTAGGTTCACATCTAAGCTCTACCTTGTGGAGCCATTTAACCTCTCTGAGATTCAGTGTCCCTACCATCTATAAAATGAGGTTAACACCTAGCATGTAGATCATTATTTTATAATGTATAAGAACAGTTTCTGGCTTACAGTAGTCAATGAATATTAGCTATTTCTGAATTTCAGAGAATAATTTTCTTTTAAAAATTTAATGAAAGGGAAAGCATGAAATCCTTGATATATTCAGTTAGACTATTTTATGATTTACCCAAAATATTAGGGTCATAAGAATAAATGAAAAAAAAAAGTAAGTCCTAAAGGCTTGATTGAAACCATACTCATCATGAAAGAATTTAAAATACAACCAGTTAAGGAACATTGCCTTAAAAATGTGATAAAGTCTTTCTCCTTGGCAGGGTTAGATGATTACGTTTGGGATAATAAAGCAAACATTTCAATGGATTGAGTAAGTAAAAAATTTCTTACATAGAATGGGAAAAAGGGGTGCCAAATTATTCTTCTTTCTGTGTTTACATGGCTTCATGTGAGAATCTGTTTGTCTTCTTATTTAACACCAGCAATAAATACAACCAACAAATATTTCTTTAGCGTTTACAAAGTAACACAGAAGAATTAAAGACAACTGTGTTAATTTTTTTTAAAAGGTTCCTCAAAGCAAGAGTTTTCCCATTATTTCAACTCCTCCTTCCTTTCTGCTGGGATTGCTTCACCAATTTCCCCTTCACTCTGGCTGCAGTTCAATCTCTCCACGGATTCTTTCCCTGCTGCTTACAGAGGCCTCCCAACTTCCTTCTCCTAAAGTCTGTGAACATTTCAAAATCTCCTCTCTGCTTGACCCTCATGCCTTCTCAAGCTACAACGCTTTCTTCTCTTATTTACCACCATATTTCATAAAAGAGTAGCCTACCACAGCTGTCCCAGCTTCTATATATTGCATTCATTATTCAAATCAAAGTGTGGCTTCCAACTTCAATAATATGCTTAAACTGCTCTCTCAAAGGTCATCACTGACCTCCTGAGTGCCAATTCTCAACCACCTTGAGCCTGATATTCCTGCAGCATTAAGAGATATTTGTGGTCCACTCATTCTTTTCAAACCTCGCTTCCTTTGACGTCTAATACACAGCCTTCTCCCAGTCTGTCTTTCTTTTCCTTCTTTCCTTCTCTCCCTCTGTCCTTCCCTCCCTTCTCTTTTTTTTTTCTCCCTCTCTCCTTCCCTCCCTTTCTTCCTTTCTTTTTTTTGTTGAACCTCGCCTTAGGATATTTTACCATTGATTTTTAGAGAGAGTGGAAAAGAGGGAAAGAGACACACAGAGAAACATTGATGTGAGGCAGACACATCTCACATTGATTGGATGCCTCCAGCATGCAACCAGACCAGGGATCGAGCCTGTAACCAAAAGTACGTGACTTTGACGGGAATTGAAACCTTGAGTCCGAGGGCTAACACTCTATCCACTGAGCCAAACTAGCTAACCAAAAACCTCCTAGTTTTTCTATTATCCTGATCACTTTTTCAGCCTCTTTTTGCCCATTCCTTATAAAGTACCTTCTCCTCAAGCCCTGCAAGGCACTGAACCTCAGGGTAAGCAAGATCCATCCTGAAGGATCAATGAGAAGTCAGGTACAGATTACAATCCCCAACAAAGAAGTCCTGAAACCCAAGACAGAGGAAAGGTAAGAAGCCAGAGGACAAAGGCAGCAACCAGCGGACAGGACTCAGTGAAGGAGGCCTTTCCTCAGCAGGACTGGTTTTTGGGTCATGCATCTTGCTGTACAGCACCTTTACAGCATAGCTTGGTTCCAAATACCATTGCTTCCCAAGACTCTTCCTTTGTCATCTGCTGTATCCTTTACACTTTCTCTCTAAATGGTTAGCTATTGCCAGGATTTTGCCTACAACCTTGATTATTCCCAAATTATATCTCCAGGAAGAAATTATTTTTTTTTATTTAAATTTTTTATTGTTTAAAGTATTGCATGAGTCTCCTTTTCCCCAACTGACCTCTCCCCGGCCACCCCCACCCCTGGCAGAAAGAAATTTTTGCCTAAATTCCGGACCTATTTGAATGATCTCCCTCCCCTTTTCTCTCCCAAGGGCTCTAAGACATGTAAAGCTGTCATGAATTTTTTATTTCCCCACATTTTTATAATTCACCACCGCCAACAAAAATGAAATGTGGGGCAACATGGAGAACAGTGACATTTCTTTCTGTATTGCCACCTTACAAACTACTCACTGCAATGAGTTCAAATGCATAGTCTTCACAACCTGTGGATATCCTAAATTCATACAGAACACTACAAATTATGTCTCTAAAAATAGTATACATTTTCCTTAAGAGTGCTGATCTCATCTCAAATAATGTGAAGAACATCTAAAATCCTCGCCTTATTTCTTTTTATAATGAGTAAGCCATGTTCTACTTGGAAAAGGGATCTTTGCTCAGCCTTTATTAAAAAGAATGTTAAGTCTGGCTGGCTTGGCTCAGTGGCTGGGCCTCGACCTATGAACCAGGGGGTCGGGTTCAATTCCAGGTCAGAGCAAATGCTCATGTTGTGGGCTGGATCCAGTATGAGGCATGCAGGAGGCAGCCGATCAATGATTCTCTTTCATCATTGATATTTCTATCTTTCTCTCCTCCCTTCCTCTCTGAAATCAATAAAAATCAATTTTAAAAAAATAATGTTAAAGTCCTACATATCAAGAACATGTTTTAACACTTTAACCAAGAGGTAAAGTTAGTATGACTCTACTGTTCTGGAAATTCCATTAAGGCACTTCTACCTGTATGTGGAAGTATGAGCCAATCTCCATAGGCATTTTTACAGATAAATAAAAATACTGTGAAAGTAATAAAAAAGGACAGGGCTTGTTTGGTATTTTTCAAATCCATCAGATGTCTTTAGAAAATGGTTACATAAAATTTATATTATTATAGATCATAGAAACTAGCTAGGTAATCCAGATTTTTTTTTTTTTAACAGCTTAGTTCTATAAGAGAAAAAATGTTCTGAGGAACTGGCTTATCAATGAATAAAAGTTGAAAAGAAAGTTGAAAAACTAGCTGCATGTCTGACATGGCTTATTACTCCTTAGGAGAAGCTCCTCTTATTGGATTCTTTGTAAGATTCATCAAACATAATCACTTGCTAGAAATCTACACCATCATTTAAAATTATTAGAAAGGAAAATGTAGAGCAGGAAAAAACAAACTTACATCTCTTGATTACTGCTCGAATGGAAGACAAGGGTCCTTGGCTGGAAAAAGAAAGGAAACTTATTACACATTCATTAATCCTTTTGAAGAAGAATCATTTATCATGCCAGTCCATTTCTGGACTCAATATGGTGCCAAGTAGCAAGTTTGATACATTAATTACCAGTCTATTCTTCTTACAAAACACAAATTTAAAAACATTTAAAAATTGCCTTTGATATTTAAAATGTTTTATGGGAGTCGAAGAGGCTGATGAAGTACGTCTGCAATATAAATAAAATTTTGCCTTGTAGTTGCTACATGCTATCTCTTCCAGTGAATTTCTTGAAGTCAGGTAGCAATTACCTGGTGCTCAAATTTTTTTTTTTTAACCCTGCCCTCCACCTCTTCCTGTTTGATCTTGGAATTCTTATCTCCTCGGGTCAAAACAGATTATTTAAAGTCATATTTCCCCCTAAGATTAGAATTAAAACAGCACCACCTAAAATTAAAAGCCTCCTGCTTTGATTTTTGTTCAATAGCTGGTTAGTCTTGGCTGCCTCTGACTGTGTAACCTCGGGCAGGTAACAGACATCTCCCAAGCTTCTGTTTTTTCATTTGTCAAAACCCTCTAGAACTGCAAAGGTTATGCTATTAGTTTTCCAGGTTGTTTGTCTATCTGTATTCATACCAGTTGGACTGTTTTTGAATCATTTAGAAAAATATGCAAGCATGAAAGTTTAATGCTATGATTTAGGAAAAAATTCTTATTTATAAAATTCTTCAGCTTTTTCAGAATAGTCTTTTAAAATTTATACTTATTTTTAGCCGAGACCGGTTTGGCTCAATGGATAGAGCGTCGGCTTGGGGACTGAAGGGTCCCGGGTTCGATTCTGGTCAAGGGCATGTACCTTGGTTGCGGGCATATCCCCAGTAGGGGGTGTGCAAGAGGCAGCTGATCGATGACTCTCTCTCATCGATGTTTCTAACTCTCTATCTCTCTCCCTTCCTCTCTGTATAAAATCAATAAAATATATATAAAAAAATAAAATAAATTAAAATTTATACTTATTTTTGAAATTTATATTCTTAAAATTTCCCCTTGTATAACCTGCATAAATACTCTTGATATTTCTTAGGTAACTACAATAGGAAAACACAATAATATACCAGTCCATTTTATGGAAGAGATACCTTAAAAATATACTATTCTGCCACACAAGAAAAAAAGAAAAATTCTACACCACCACGAAGCTAGGACAATAATATAAAAACGTGTTTCAGCAATACTGATTTTTAAAAATGTCTTGAAGGCTTTCTATAAACAATTATTTGAAAAAACAACAGTATAAGGTAATACAAAAGAGGTAATAGCACTAAAACCCAAATAGGCTGACTAAAGGCTTTAGGAAAAACTTCTTGGTATAAAACTGGAGTGAATTTGCATGTTGACACTGTGTATATTGATTTAGGCACAATAATTAAAAGAATCAAAATCAGTATTTAGAAGCAAGGACAAAAAAGCCAAAATTCCATGTGTTCCCAGGCAAGACAAAGGGATGTTACTGAATGTCTACATCATAATCTCCTTACTCCTTAACATTGATTTGGTGTGATATTATTATTAAAAACATCTTTGTTACCTTTGTGAAGAAGAAAGGTGTACTGACTAAGGTAAAACATGGTGGGGGGAGGGAAAGGAGGAAGGAGAGTGATATTTGGGTCCAATTGCCCAATTTATGTTGAAATCTTACCCTCCAGTACTTCAGAATGTGAAATGGGGTAAGTACAAATGTAATTAGTTAAGATGAGGTTATACTAGAGTAGGTGGGCCCCTAATCTAACTTAACTGGTGTCCTTATAAGAAGGTCATATAAGAAAACAGAGACACACAGGGAAAGTGCTGTGTGACGACAAAGGCAGTCTTGAGTGTCACAGCTTTAAGCCAAGGAATGCCAGAGTGCTGGCAAATCACCAGAAAGTAGAGGAGGTGAGGAAGGATTCTACTATAGATTTCAGAGGAAGCATAGCTCTGCCCACATCTTGATTTCAGACTTCCAGCCTCCAGAACTGAGAGACAATAAATTTCTGTTATTTTAAGTCACTCAGTTTGTGGCACTTCGTTACAGCAGCCATAAAAAAACTAATACGGGAGAGACAGGTGCTGAGTAGATGTGATAATCTGAGGTGCTGAGTAGATGTGATAATCAATTGAGGTGCACACTTTGTGCAATTTCCTGTATGATATACTTCAACAAAAAGTTGGGGGTGGGGAGGGAATCTTGGCCCTCAGCATAAACTCGGCAGTAGTTTTATCTGTTCCACCAAGAATAAGGATACCTACCAGGACTGCTGCTCCTTAAAAGGTAGCAGGCAGGTTTCTGGGCAAGGTGGCGGTACTCTGGTGCTCGAAACCTCCCACAACCATAACTGAGCTACAGAACAACCATCATTCAGAACTGCCCAAAATTTAGTTAACAGAAGTTCTGCTACCAAGTATGTAAAGAAGAAGCAACATCAAGACTGGAGGCCCAGAGCCAGTATACCTGGTGGGCAACTTCAGATCACAAGTTAGTACCACCCAACCACCTCCACGAGCAACACTCAAGGGAGGGCTCTGCAGGTGCCCGAACCCCACTGAAGTGAATTCTGTTCCAGGGGTCAGTCCTGCACAACAGATCCTTCACAGTGGTCATGGCCAGTCCTCCCAACCAATCAGCCTGGAGGTAAATCCCTCCCATTGGTGTGCCAAACGAAATAACAGAGAACAAAACTACAGAAAAAGAGAAGCTATCTGCCAGATACAGAGTTCAAAACAAGTAAATTTCTTATTGATGGCAACTAAATGGTGTTTGTAGCATTTTTATCATACAGTAGATTCCTTCTCATTTACTGTACTTTTCTAACTCAGGTGTCCTACATGCAAGTACTTGTTTTTAATGTTGTCTGTCTTCTGTGCTGTTTCTATAAGTTTGCTATTAAACTACATTAAACTATAATATAATAATAATTATGGCAAATTAAAAAAATTAAGCCAATTTTAAAATCTTCTCAGCATGTTCAGATTCTGTACCATAAAATATTTTAGATCATAGGTAAAGAACAAGACTCCTAAAAACAACTGACTCATCCATTACACCCTATTTAACAATGACTTTTAAAAGGTGTAAAGAGATGTTCTTAAAAAAAACTTAAAAAAAAAAGGAATAGACTACGAAGACCTTACTCTAAACCGGTCATTCCAAAAACTATATGCAGCAAAGCACCTACCAAAAAAGGTTGACAAGTCCCTTTGGTCACTTCCTTATGCATGCTCAGAGAAAACCTGGTTCAGGGAAAATTCCTGCAACACACATGAGACTGCCTATCAGGGGACACCACCTAACAAGAAAAATTAGGACACAGAAAACTTGCTGGAAACCCAAAGAGTCACTTGGTCATACTGCAGAAGGAAAATTTAAAGGCAAATATTTCCTTCATCACAGTCCATATACAGAGTCCTAATGCCTATATAATAAATAGCAAACACCAAGTGAAAGCCCTCTGCTCTGAGGTGAAAAATTCCAAGGGTGAAAAAAATATTCAGGGAGAAAAGAGCTCTCATAACACAGTAGTTTATCACCTTCTTGGAAAAAAATCTGCTTTATGGTGTTAGTTTGATTTTTACTAAGCATTTTTAAGTATTCCAATATCTTCTTATCAGATCACATAATATATTTTTCTCTTGGTTCTATTACACAAAGGGATAGAAGATGGTGGGATGCAGAGAGTGGTAATGATACCATCTCTTAAACTTGCTGCTGTAAATTCAGAGGCCTACCTGGTAATATTTTTCTGATGTCCAAGTTATAGCGAATAGCTCTTAATTCTAACATTTCTGGCTATCCCTTTTAGTCATCTTTAATATATATATATATATATATATATATATATATATATATATATATATATTATTTATTTATTTATTTATTTATTTATTTTTACAGAGAGGAAGGTAGATGGACAGAGAGCTAGACACATTGATGAAAGAGAAGCATCAACCAGCTGCCTCCTGCACACTCCCCACTCGGGATGTGCCTGCAACCAAGATACATGCCCTTGACCAGAATTGAACCTGCACCCCTTCAGCCCCCAGGCCGACGCTCTATCCACTGAGCCAAACTGGCTAGAGCATGAAAACTTTTTAAAAATTAAATTTACTAGGATGACATTGGTTAATAGGATCATATAGGTTTTAGGTGTGAATTTCTATGTTACAGGGTCTGTATATTGCACTGTGTGCCCACCACCCAAAGTCAAGTCCTCTTCCGTCACCATGAACACTTTTACTGCAAGTATTTAAGAACTTCTCCAATTGCTGCATACATAAACAGCATAAGTAGCATGTCCACTAGAGAATATCTATTTTTTGCAAAATTACTGGAAAACTTTTACATTGAATACCAAGAACATAATTGGTAGTTAAAAAGCTTTAAAGTCATTTAAAATTATGATCACTAATACTTATGTGAAATTACCCAATCTATGACATTTCTAGATTGAGGAACCAAAAGAAAAACAAGTTTTAGAACACATATTATGCATTTCAGGATACCTTCATGTAAGTGTATGAATGTTCAATAAATTTATAGACACTAAGTACCACTGCCCCCTAACAAGTAGTTTAATTTTTCAAGATATCGATATTTAAAAAGACTTATAGAGAGTAAATTTAAATTTGCCTCCTAAAAACATGGGGGGAAAAGCAGAAAATAAGAAAGCAAGAAGATGCTGAAGAGAATGTGGAAGAAAATGGCTGCTATGGGGTCCAGGTGAACATTGAGTGGAGAAATACACTGAGTGGCCAGATTATTATGATCTCTGAATGCATATATATATTAGATGCCCAATGCATGAATTTGTGCATAGGTGGGGTCTGGCCAGCCTGGCCAGGGGTAGGGAATGTGGGCAGTTGGCCGGCCTGCCTGCTGGTCAAACTCCTGTCAAGGGGACAATTTGCATATCAGACTTTTATTATATAGGATATACACTGAATGGGCAGATTATTATGTGTTCAAAGATC